TGGTGAAAAGTGGTTGGCTCTAGAGGGGAATGTGGAGGAGGGGCTCTCACTCTTCATTTATATCTCCTGCACCATTTTATTACCAGATGCAGGTATTAATTTTGTAAGGGAAAAAAAAATGGCAAGTATTTCTAATGTGGATTTAAAAACCATGGGCCTAAGCTGAACAGGGTAGAGTTCTATGTTCTTACTAGAAGAATGTGCAAGATAACAAATGATTTAAGTTACTGATTACTGATATGTAGACCATCATTCTCGGCGCCTAATGCACACATGTCTATGTTTGTACATAGCAAAGTCTGCAACAGGCACAACTTCACAGCGGTCACCCCTGGAGAGTGAGTATGGGAAAAGGGCCTTAACGGGGCAACTTTCACTTTTTACGATATTGCATATTCCTCGGCAGTTCTTGCCAACTTTTAAAAGTACTTACATGTGTTTTAATTCAAGGTTAAGGCCGTCCCTATACTTTTCTTCAGTCAGAGCGCAATTAAACCTCCACGTAATCCAAACAGAAATTACTGAATATTTTAAATAAATAGGCAGTAGAAACTTTTCAGTCCCCCTTCTCTCTTATTCCTGCAAGAAATAACTTATGTGACGATATTAATGACAAACTCTATTAAAGTTGTTTTTGTTTCCTCTGCAGAAATGTCAATACACATTTCTTAAGCACGACTCTTCTCAGAATACAGAATGAACACATGACAAGTGTTCATTTAACTCATGAATGAGAGAGCCCCCCAGATAGTAAAAGAGCATTTGAGGAACTAAGTATTTATGATCAATGAAAACAGAATTCAAGAATCAAGTACCCAGATAAGACTCAAAACCGGTCAATATCCTCCAGGGTTATGGTTTCTAATAGCCAGAAATCATTTGCATCTCCTCTGGACAAAAAAAAAAATCTACAAATTACATGCAATCTCACAGAGCCTGGGCCCTAATCAAGAGTAAACAGAAAATCAAAGAAGGACGCAGCCCCACAGAATGAAATTGTCCCTGGGTGGCTCTGTTAGGCTATGCTCATATAATATTGAAAGGACATGCAATCCTCCCTTTGCCTAATTTATAAATGTTGGATATTTTTCTCAACATTAGATACAAATTTACATATTGGCAGCTGTGGCTTTCAATTTTCCAAATGGAGTTTGCTCTTAATATTAATCTACTTTTCACCATCTTTTGTGTCTGTTTTCAATCAGGAAGGAAAATTACCAACAAGCAATTCAGGAATTGCAATAATAATCCACTATAAAAACTAAATATATTTTCATATTGTTTTGATACTCACCTTCATGGCTACCAAAACACTTTATGAACAATTTAGGAGCAATTTAAATTTTGTATCAGGACAAAAAAAGAAAGAGTCTGCATATCTGCTTCAAACTGATGGCAGCAACAACAAAAAATCAATTCATACTAACTGTAGTTTCTAATGTTTATACGGAATTGGACACAACTTTGGGCAAGTTACTGAATTTCTTAGCCTCAGCTTCTTCTGTGAAAAATAAGACCTTCACTAAACTACTACATGTGTAATTGGATGCTGACAGATACAAAATTGGGATTATACTGCTGTGTTCTTATTTCATTGTTATATGCACATTCACAGGTCATAATTTCTACTTTTTGGACTTCTGTGTAGTTTTTTTTTATCATTTGTTTCTTGCTACATGCATGTGTACTTTACCTTCTTGTGATTTTAAAAAGTATAAATTATTTTTTAAAATCTTACCAACTGCCTCGTTTTTCAAAAACAAATTGTCTTTCTCACCCTTCTTTTCTCTTGGTAAAAAAAATAAAATGGTCTTTTAATAACCTCTAACAGTAGATTTGAAATTTAACAAATCTCTCTCTCTCTGACCAAATGCCATTTTACACTGCAATCTCTTTTACATAACTTACTGTCACATTTTTGAGAAATGTAAAAAAAGTGAATTTATCTAGCAGCTATTAAAATTACACTTAGCTCATATAGCAGCTGTTTAGTTAGCTCTTCACTAGACTCCTGAAAAATGATACCATGTGTTGGTCAACAATTTTTTTTAAACAGCCTGTTCACTCAAATACATTACATAAATATGCCATAAAAAGTAAAATTTCGCCATCACTTCAGAAAGAGACGTACCCTCCCATTTTCTCAATACAAGTTTCTAGCCAGAGGGTATCACGTGAACCCAACTGAAGTTGTGCTGCTCATTTAGATGAAACCAGAAGAGGCAGCAATTTTTTTGGACACTTCCATCTATCTGGTTTATGTGTGTGTGATCAGGTGTTTTGAAGCACTCTCATATATAGTCTCTAATTTGCTTGAAATAACTTCATTGAGTATAGTTTGCCTGCAAGAAGACTATGAGATCAAAAAGCTTCAAAAATTAGTTTTAAAAATGGTACAAAAACTCTGAATATATTTAAAACTATCGAATTGTACACTTTAAATGGGCAAGTTGTATGATATGTGAATAAAGCTTTTTTTAAGGGTACAGAAAGAAAAAGATGAGTAAAGGCTCATGCCGTAGTTTATGTAATTTTTGTAAACATAATTACGTAGTTCCAAATTGTTATTACTTATATAAAATTGTTTTCATTGCTCAATTGATATATTTTCCTATCTGTAATAAGTATTTAGGTATCTTGAGCTAAAATGGAATTCACTGTTTTTCTAATTAAATATTAATAAAAAATATTTTTTCATTTAATGGCTTTTCACTTAGTATAAATAAGTATTTTCAGGGACAAACTAACGTCATTAAGTGTGAGATAGGTTTAATTATTTGAAACTTAAGAGTTAAATTTGGTATTGAGATGAATGTCGGTGTCAATGCTGAACTGATTTGCCCTAAGTGGCAGAGTCGAAATATATTCTGCCCACTGAGAAGGACTTAAGACCTGCAAAATGTCAAGGGAGCCAAGACTGTGTATATCCTTGGGAAGACAGGCCAGTGAAAGACAGAAAAATCAGGAAAGATACAGAAAAGGGGAGTTAGATAATGACTAAAAGCTGACTTGGAAATCTAGTTTGCTATCTCACCAGCCAGACTATAGTTTGCTTTCACAAAGTAAGTCAATTGGTTTCATTCGGTTTGAGATTTCAGGAAAAAAATAGCTGCATGATTAAAAGAATAACTTCCTAAGCTCAAAAGTAACTTAAATCTATTTAGCTCTCTTGCCTGACTTTGTGAAGGACAAACATTGTAAAAAAACCTCACAATTTTCTCCCTTGTTTTTACAGAGAGAAAAACTGAACAACAATATAGTTTGGGTAATTTTCTGACAGAAAAAGGAAATGTGAGAAATTTGAATGGCAGCAAACATAAAAGAATATCTTTAAGACATATCAAAGATATTATTTATCAATTATAAATTTAGAATCCAAATGTGTAATGCCTAAAGTTTTGAAAATAATAAATGATGAAAAAATATTATTCTTTACTTATTTCAAGTTAAAACAAAAAATGAGAAAAATAAGTACCTGAGTTCTAATCAGCAAGTGCTGATTCTACACTTGAGTAAATTTTTTTTCTGCTAAAGGATGGAGAAACATTGAATAATAAATACAACCAAATGAAATTTTTAACAAGTTTTTTTTTAATATTACATCTGATCTCAGTCAAAAGTATGAATAAGAGAAAATGAGAAAACAAAGTTATTGAATCATTATTTAAGTATTTGGTGTTCTTGGTAGGATGGCTTGAAGCTCTCCCAAGGTCTAGAGACCTTGCTTTTTAAATATGTTTTCTTAAGGGGGATTTTTATGCATTTTAACACAACTTTATAAATTCTTTCAAAGACATTTCAGCAAAGATGTTATACTGGAAAATGTGAATAATTCCAGAAATATGGAGACTTTTAGTTTCATTTCAAACTTCATTTCCTTTTAATATTCATTCACCAGCAGCCCAAATTCTCCATGTATTTTGCCAGATATTATTTATTAACTGCAAACTGGGCAATTACTTCTGCTTCATGAGATCACTTAAACTCAAACTAAAAAAAAAAAAAAAAA